AAGCCTCTGGTGAAACAAGTGCTTGGTGCAGGTGGGCAATGACTGAAATATAGGGGGCCGAGGGGGAGAATCACAGAATAATTTGGTTGGTGATCTGGGTTTTCTATCCTGAAGAATGATGTGATAAAGGAAAAAGTATGCAAAGGAAGTGCTGGGGGTCCCATCCTCTCAGACAGAAATTAGGTTGCACGGCGCAGTGGAAGATGTGCCAACAGCAACGAGCCTCCCGAAAAGGAGGCTTTGTTTTTTTAGGGTTGTGCTTGTTTACCCAATAGCGTTACTGGGTAATATGCCTGGTCCACGAGGTTCCATTAAGGTGGTTAGGGTCAAAAGGCATTAAGAACTTAGATTTTTTTTTTAATCTGTCTGCTAAAAGCAGTGATTTTGAGTAAAAATGACTGGGGTCGAATTCTGGCTCTGCAGTGGAAACTTGGGCAAGTTAAATAATCTCCTACACTTCAGCTTCCTCGTTAGTGAAATGAGAACAATACATCTAATCAACATAATCTTAACAATGGAACACTGTTATATGCGAGCTGATACACAGAAAGCTATTGGCACAGCCTGGCATACAGTAAGTACTCAGCGAATCTTGGATCCCTTATTATAATTTTATTTTACTTGTATTTACAATGTAAATAATTCTGAAGTAGATATCCATATGCATAATTCTTTGACCATAATTCTGATTATTTCTTTATGGTAGGTTCCTAGAAGGATAATTACTTGGGTACAAGTATCCTATCTAATCTAATAATAGACAAAGATTGAAATTGACCATACCTTCGCTACGCCTCCCATTGGCTAATCAGCGAGATATGCAAATCAATCGCCAACGAAGATGGCGGTTAATTTGCATATGTAGGCGTGAAGCAGCAGAGCGAAGACTGAAGGCGGCTCTGGCTGGAGCAGCGAGGGCTGTGAAGGCGGCTCCAGCCGGAGCAGCACCAGTTTTCCTCTGGCACCCAGGACCCAGGCCTATTGCACGAATCTTTTCGTGCAACAGGCCTCTAGTCTGATCATATTGAATAATCCTATGCTTAAAGTTTTCCAGAAAAGGCAATTCAATGGCTTGCTTCATTCGACTACCAGGGAATTCTTGAGCTCTGGAAATTAAATTCCTCGAGTACACGTTATTTGGCAGATTACAAACCTAACCAAGGTGTGTGTAAAAATCTAGTGTTCATTAAAATCTCTTTGTGATAAATTGTTAGCAATAAAGAGAAAATAAAATGGAAAGTGTCCCTGCTTATAGCAAACTCCAAGAGTCACAGATGTGCATGTTCAGTTTAGGAGACCTTGGCCTGGCTTCCTGTTATCCTTCAACGGCATTCATTCCTTGGCATTTTGTAGCACCTGCCATTTAAATCCCTCACTTCGCACTGCCATTGAGAGTTTAGATTTCCTCCTTATCTTTGACCTTTTAATTTAAGGATGTGGCTTTTAACTAACCTTTGGCCTGTGGGTCAGCAGTTAAGCTGTCCATTCTCCCAGACCCCTGAAAAGATGAAAGATCTTTGGCCTTTTTAAGGACAAAGCCTGTTGTGCATAACTTGTACATAGTTTGGTCATCTCAAGCCATGCTTGGGTGACGAAACCTCAGGAGGCAGGTGCTGCAAGGGCCATGCTGAATGGGTATTATGGCAAACAAACCTTAAAGAAGAGCTTTAGACTTTGGGTTCCTCAGTAAAAGTCGGCCTGTTCAAGTTTCATATCAATGGCATCTTTTAGGGGAAGCTAGTGGAAGATACTTAACAGAGCCAGTCCTGATATAGCGTCCACATTTTGAAAGCGAGGTCACTTACAGGGCTGTCTTACGGATTAGATGTTAGATAGAAACTGTCACAGTGTTGAGGAGACCTTAGCTGGGAGCAGGGGGACAGAATATGCACAGGTATCTGAAACACAGGGTAGAGGAAATAAGGGCCGCGAAGTGCATAAGGGGATTCTAAGAAAGGAGAGATTAGCCGGAGTGGTGGAAATCTAGGAGGAAATCTTTGTGTAAGAGATGATGTTTAAGATGAGTCAAGCTTCCTGAAGGAGTGGTATTTCAGATCAGCCATGAAAGATTTTAGCAAGTGGAATTTGGTGCAGATGGTGGGTGAGTAAAACAAGTGAGAATGGGACGTTCATGCAAGCAGATGGAATCACAAGGGGAAAGTCAGAGGTATTGTGGGGGGGGGCATGTTTGGGGACCATCAAGTGAAATGGTTTCATTAGCATGTACAATGCATTTCGGGGACTGTAGAAGGTAAAGGGAAGGGTACAATGGGGTCAGGCTGCCGAGGTCCTGGTTTGCTGGGGAACAGCATTTTTTTCTTGACTAAAGACAGTGGGGGTGGGGGGGTGGTTCAAAGCCAGAAGATTGGCTGTGAGGGTGGAGTGAATGAGCGGATGAGCTTAGTTAATTATAAAACTCTTTTTAAAAAGAAAAAAAAAGAGAACACTTTCTTTTCTTAATTTATTTTCAATAAATTAATAGTTAAAAAGTAAATTAGAATCAATGGTAAAAAATATCACAAAACAACAGATAAAATCTTTGGCTGATACTTCTAATCACATTCTACAAAGCACAATAATTCCATTTCAATAAAAAGGCATAGAAGGTTACAGAGCACTATTAAGAAGAGAGGAGCCTAATCATAAGGTGCTGGTCCGTTTTCAATCCTAAAATACTTAGTGACCAAACAAGGCTGTAGCAAGGCTGGGCGCTGGATCAGGAGACTGGCACGCACGGGGTTTCCACTAACTGTCCATGTGACCTTTGCAAAGTCACTTTGAAATGCTCTGGACCTGTTTTCTCCTCTGTCACATGAGGAGTAAGATTAGCCAACATAATGACCTATATAAATAAATGGACTTGTTTATACCTAGTTTCCAGTGGTGTCTGGAGCAGACCAAACACTTGTTTTCAAGTAACAGAGTAGCATGGATGATATAATCTGTCTAAACTCTTCTGTTGGGTTCAAATGATCCATAAAAGGATGTACCACTAGGGAACTACAATACATTCGAACCATAAATTCTTACTATTGCAATCACCAAGCCCTAAGTATAGGACACCAAGGAAGACTATAGAGTGATTTTTGAATTAGCCTCCAGTCTTACAGCAGCTTACCTTGCCAAGGTTTAGGTCTGACAGTCATTTTAACATGACACAACTTGATATATCAAAATCCAAGCTTGCAAAAGAAGTCATCTAAGAGGTGAATTACATAAAGTCATATCTTAAATGTGTATTCATTCTATCAAGGGGGTTTCCTGCAGGGTTTCATTAAACAATGATCCTCCTCATATAGTTTAATGATCATTCAGTCTCCCCAGAGCTTTTTAGGAGCAAAGGCCCTCTGCACACGCAGACGTGGCCCCAACAGCAAAAAGGTGCACTCACTCTGAGAAGAGCATTAAATCCCGTATTCAGGCCTCCATGCAGTCCTCGGCAACATGGTAAAATGAAGCTAATATAAAAATACTGTCAAAAGTGACTTTGATTTAATGCCAGATGAGAATAAGTAATGTTGCTCAATTGACAACCATCAGCAAACCATTGGTAGTTTGGGGACACACTTAAGTCCCCCCAAGCTTGTGAGAAATGCCCATTTGTGTCTCCTCCTATTCTGGGTCCATGGGGAAGTTCACTGAGTGCAGTTTAAAGAAAGGACCCAGAAGGAAATGCATTGCTTCTGACACACAACGTGCTACGAGTGTGAATGCTGCATGGAGTTTAATGACATAACGGCCTTGCTCATTTGGGGAATGAGATTTTGAGGGGGCCTCATCCAATTTTCTTCTGATTATCAAACCAAAGGGGCTCATTTCAACCTTTCATAAGTCAAATATCTTCCTTCTAGAGTGGCAGGAAATTTTAACTCCTCTGTTGTGTATACACTGGAAAGCCATAATTGCAAATCCATCAATTTCCTACTGATGGTTCAGAAGGTTTTAAAACCAATGTACATCAAGAACTTTGGGGAAATAAAATGTCCCAGAGACAATCAAATGACATAATTTGTATTCTGGGCTCAGCTATGGGATTCATCTCTGAATCCAAGCATCATCAGGGTGGCAAGTGGTGATGAGTTATGCCAAATCCACACTGTTCCATTGGCCTGTGGGTACCACCCCTCCCAACATAAGACTGAGCTAATGCTCCATAGCTGGGAAGACAAATTCCAAATTCATTAATTCATTAGAGTCTGGTATTACAGTCCCATTGTCTGCTCTAAATCTTTTGTTTAAACTAAGCTCTCTGTTAAATGAGTCGTTAAATGGTAATGTTTGGATTTTCATAATTATATTTGAATTTTACGGGTCTTAAATCAGCAGGAACTCAGGCTGAATTAGAAGTATTAATACCTGACATGTGAAACTGAGGGGTTAGAGAACCTATTTCAGCTGTTTTTCATAAGAAAACTAGGAACTCTAATTCATAAATGATCAAGTCCTTGCCTCTCACAAATATAGCCCACCATTTGGCTTTGGAGATAACATATATGGGAATGGCTCCTGGCAGGTAACACCTCCCACTTCTGTAGCGATAAAGGATGCAGAGCTCTCCCATAGGTATCTGTTGCATTCCTGTAATCTTCTCATGTCAGGAGGGTCTTTAGGAGGGTCTTTTCTCTACAAGCCTCCAGGATTATTTTCCTGCAAGAGCCAACCTGAAGACTTGTTTTGTTCCCCCTTGATCAAACACACTACATTTTTCAAAAGAAACTTTAAAGTATGTTCTGAGGGCCCTAGCTGGTTTGGCTCAGTAGATAGAGCACTGGCCTGTGGACTGAAGGGTCCCAGGTTTGATTCCGGTCAAGGTCACATGCCTGGGTTGCAGGCTTGATCCCCAGTAGGGGGCGTGCAGGAGGCAGCCAGTCAATGATTCTGTCTCATCATTGATGTTTCTATCTCTCCCTCTCTCTTCTTCTCTAAAATCAATAAAAATATATATTTTTAAAAAATGTTCGGAGGGAAGCATTTTTTACTCATCTGAAATGTGCATTTCTACTCATCTTGCTTATAACTGAAAACATATTGAGTAATTGTTTTTCCTTCAAACGACATCTCATGTAGATGTTGGACATAGAAAATAGACAGAAACAGGCCGCATTCCAAAGCCACACTCCTCATGGCCTCCAGTCAGCTCCTGGCAGCTGTCCCTGAGCCACCTCCTGTGACACTTAAATTCCTGCCTCACAAATTATTCATCAAGGTGACTCTGTAACATGCCAAAGGCTGTCGATGGCCAGTGACTTCTGAACAAGTGTCTCCCTGGGTGCTGAGAGTCAGAGCCGCACTAAGGGACGTGGTGGCTTGGGCCAGGTGAAGGAACCTGGTAGTCACTGAGCAGAGTCCTGTCGGGCAGGGGGGGTCCTTGGGGGAAGAGTCCCAGAATGTTGCCCGGGGCTGCCACTCCCGTTTGCTGCAGGCTTTGCTCCCCCAAGACCTTGACCAAGAAGTTGATATACCTCATTGCCAGGCGAAGCGTTTCATTCTTGCTCAGCTTCTTGTCTGGAGGGTGAGTGGGGATGAGCTTCCTCAGCCTGGCGAAGGCGCTGTTCACATTCTGCTGCCTCCACCGCTCCCTGGTGTTTGTGAAGATCTTCCCGGTCATGTCTGAGGTCCTGGCCAGGGAAAGAGAAAGGGCCCCGAGGGCCAACACCTTGTAAGAGGCCTGGTGGGTAGCGCGTGTCCTGCCAAAAACGTGAGATGTTTGATCTTCTTGACCCAGATTTTAGGAAATTCATTTCCTCATTTTCAGGTTTTTTTGAATCCTCCTTTTGAGAAGGGAAGAAAACGTGGCAGAAGAAAGGGCAAGATAAGAACAACACCCTTGCCGAAACCGGTTTGGCTCAGTGGATGGAGCGTCGGCCTGCGGACTGAAGGGTCCCGGGTTTGATTCCAGTCAAGGGCATGTACCTTGGTTGCGGGCACATCCCCAGTAGGAGATGTGCAGGAGGCGGCTGATCGATGTTTCTTTCTCATCGATGTTTCTAACTCTCTGTCTCTCTCCCTTCCTCTCTGTAAAAAATCAATAAAATATATTAAAAAAAAAAAAAAAGAACAACACCCTTTGGCCTTTTTCTCCCTGGCTGTTTTAAAGGTTATTTTATCCCAATAACCCCATTGCTTCTTTTATAATGTACTCTTTTTGGAGTAACTTTTTGGAGTCAGGTACAACATAGAACTGAATAGTACATGCATAGGATTGAATAATAAAATATATATTTAGTCAATAGGAAGTTAAATATGGATTCTTTTTTAAAAAAGCTGTGGTCCTAAGTTTCATGACTAATACAATATTTGGGATGATGAAAATAGAATGCATCTCTGCTCTTAGCTGGCAGCCCTCCCCTGGAGGATTGGACCCCACAGCATAAGAACTAAAATATCCAGAGTGGACCACATTTATAGGAGGGTGAACAGGGTGCTGAAGAGTCTTGAAAGCCTGTTGTATGAAGAACAGAAGTGGGGGTATTTAGGGTGACAAAAGAAGAAAGACCAGGAGCATATGGGGGTGATGATTTGGCATGGATGCTGTAGAAGGTATGCAGGCCTCCCCACGGCTCCATTTCTGTGACCTCTCCAACCCAGGGGGAGTGATTATCCTCACATGTGGCCAAAAATTACTGTGCCATTTTTAACTCTTAGAAACATGACCCCTTTTTTCATGTGGTTTGGATTGACATGCATCAGTGGGAACGTTTTGATGCATCAGCAAACTAGCCAAAGCCCAGACCTCGACAGTTGGGTGCTCTTGGCTCACTGCCATCAGCTGGCCATTCCTGTTCCCACAGAGAGTAACAAATATTCCAACTCCACTCCTCTACACCTGCCTTTTTCTGTGCCTTGAATTCCCTCCTCACTCTCCTTGCCTATTTCTACACATTCTTTAAAGAGCAGCTCAAATCCTCCCTTTCTATGAAGCCATCCATTCCATCCTAGAGCCCCCCATACTCTCTCCTCACTGAAGTTCTTCAGCCCGTGGTGGTAAGCAAAGGCTCTTAGGAGAATGAAATATTTGTAAATCACTGATCACAGTGCCTGACACACAGTAATTGCTATAAAAGTGTTGATGACCACATACAACAAAATAATAAATATATTTATCAGTAAAATGACTTGTGGGGTATTGAATGATTCTTGAGTGTGATATCTTGTTCTTCTATAACCAAGCCTGCTGTCCTTTTATTTCAATCCTTAACCAGCTGTACGCCATAAGCGTCTATAGTTGCAAGTGGCGGACCTTTTTTTTTTTAATAAGGAAGGTCCCTTTTATTGACCTTTTTAAATTAAATTCAAAATACAGAACGAGGACCTGCAGCTGAAGGCTGTCGCTAACTGCAGTCAATGCAAATACAACTCAAGGTCTTCCTTAATGTGAGAGCCAAGCCATGTACATCCATGTGAACTCTGTGTGTGGTCAACGTTGAGAGCCAATGCTCTACTCTCCGAATCGGAACACTGATGCCTTGCAAAACTATGTTTAATAAGGAAGCAGTGTATTCACATATCAGATACCTGCCATCGTAGAGGAAGGCACAGCAGGACAAAACAGAAGGGAAACGCCACTCTTTCCCTCACCGGGGGGTGTTCTGGTCACAGCACCAAACACTAACCAGCCCTTGGGCTCGCCCTGTCAGTTCATGGGCCTCAGTTCCTCCGCTACCAGGTAGGTTAACGGTACCATTCTCTCCGCCCAGGGTTGTTGTAGGGAATAAATGAAATACCGCATATGAAGGCAACCTGTGAACTACACAGTAAGGAAAAATTAGAGCAAACAGAGTGCTTTCCTTGTGCCAGGCACTGTTTCTGTGTTTTAACTCATGCGATGTCCACATGTAAGCAGTCTGGTTGCGGGAAGCGTGTTGTAGACATTGCTGGGGTGGCCTAGGGAGGAAGACATGTTCCAGAAGTTATCCCACTATACAGTACGCTTCATAGGAACCAAATGAGGATGATCCCAGCTCACTGGGACAAGCACTCTGATACCACCAAGCCCTGACTCTGTAGGAGTCAGACAGCAGTGGAGGTATCTGTGTGATGGTTAAAAGCACAGGCTCCAGAGCCAGGCCCTGGTTTGGCTACTGCCTCTACACCCACTAGCTGTGTGACCTTGAGCAATCTCTTAACCTCTCTGTGCTTCAAATGCCTCAGAAGTGAAGGGCAACTGTGAGGCCACATAAAATGATACCTTAGGGCATTGTCTGGCACACAGTAAGTGCTCACTAAATGTTAAATGATTACAACGATCCCTACCAATAAAACAGAGAAAAGAAAATGTTCATTGTAATTTAATTTTTCCTAATAAAGCAGCTATAATGGCTTTATTTATGTATTTGCTTATTTCACCCTATAGGAGTGTATGGATATGTGTGTGTGTGTGTGTGTGTAGATACAGAGCTAAATGCCTGGAAAGATTCAGACCAAACCATCAACAGGGCTTCCTCAGGGGGAGGAGAGTGGGTTGTGGGGAGATAAAAAAAAGGAGACTTGTGGGTTTTATTCTCTATACTTTGGCATTATTTTACATTTTTATAATAAAGTATTCATATTTTATTTGCCTCACAATAGAAGAAAAATAAGAAAGTTTATGGGTTTTAATGTAGAAAAACCTGGCTTTGAATCTCAGCTCTCAATTTCCCAGGCTCCCAATTCCCTAGTTATATGACTGAGAAAATCTGTTAACTTCTTTAAGCCTCAGTTTTCTTTTCTGGAAAATGGAAATAAAGCCATACTCAGTTTCTTGTGAGAACTAAGTGAGATCCTCCATGAAGTATATAAGGATATTAGTGAGACACCATGTGCCTAGCACACAGGCACTTAATAAACACGAGGGCTCTCCTCCCTACACAGATGAGAAGTGTCATTCCTCCAGAGCCTGGCATTTGTCAATCATCTGTACGCCCCCGGGACATATCTCAGCCAGGTTCTGGTTGCCGTTCCTGCTCTGTCCGGGTTGGGGAGTCCAGTGCTGGGCTGGGAACCCGGTGGTGAGTGAAACCCCGGCAGCACATGGCAGGCTTCAGACTCACTCTACTAGCCACTTAGGTCCATGTCCTCGCTCGGCAGAGACACTCCCATTTGGGCCCATGGTCCGGTTACAATCCTATGCCCTCCAAGCTTTGGCATCAGCAGTCACCGACACTACGTGCCACATACTGTGCTGGCAGCTGGACACGGAGGAGCCAGCCACTGCCTGTGTGACATGGAGAGGGAGGCGCAGGGACTGCTGAAGCAGAGAAACAGCACTGAACCAGGCACTCGGGGGGCTTCCAGGCAGCCCACGTATCCTTCCAACTAAAGGGGTGGGCCAGCCGACCCCCACTTTCTGTTCTGAAATACCACGACACCCACTTACTGCGAATGATCTAACCTAAGCCACTTCTAAACACCCTGGCCGTTGGGTCTACCATGAAAATATGAGTGTTGTCAGAACTGTGCCCACCTGTACCTAAAACTGAAAGCTTGAACCTAAATCAGGAGGATTTTAAGATAGAAAGAAACCCGTCATGTTTTCTCCTGGCAAGGCTGGCTGCTTAGCCAGGACTATGGGAACAAAGTTATTTTCAAGCTTCTCTTGTCAAAAGAGGGTTTAGCTCATTCACTAAGTCAACTCAGGCCCATGGGGGTTCTTTTCAAAGTGGGCAAGAAAAAGATTAGGCAGGATAAACTAACTGGTGTTCTCTCCTAAGAGGGCTCCATTCTATTGTGCCAGAAGCAGACAGAGGGAGACAAGCTTCTGAAACGAGGCCTGCCATCCCAGGAGGTGCTGCATAATTACTTGTGGATTTATCCTCAAGTGTGTCCCCCTCCTTCTCCATAGGGGGAAATACAAATCAACGATTTAACAAGCTGGAAAAACTCAAAGCGGAGGTCACTGGAAAATTACAAAAGCCCTGATTTGGGTGGTAAACACACAATGCAATATACGGATAATGTATCACAGAACTGTACACGTGAAACCAATGCCACCCCAATATATTTAATTTAAAATTTTTATTTAGTCTTTTTCTAGTTGTGAGGACTGACTGCATGAAACCAATGCCACCCCAATACATTTAATTTAAAATTTTTAAATTTTATTTAGTCTTTTTCTAGTTGTGAGGACTGACTGCTGCTAATCTTGATTTCAGAGTAAGCTAAAAGCTTAAAAAAAATATGCCAGATGCCACAGGATCAAACTGGGGTGGAGAATTTTGTCCCAGGTGACACAGGGAATCAGTGGCAGAGCCTGTGTCCCAAGCCTGGGTGTTTATGCATTTGTGTCACCACTGACTCCTGCTGGGTCCGGGTGCATAACCTTTTTTTGTGCCATGGAAACTTCTGGCAGTCTGAGGGAGCCGTCTCAGAATAATGATTTTCAATACATAAAGTAAAAAGCCTTTGGTTCTCTTCTCAGAATAATGATTTTAAGTGCATCACTTAAAATACATCAACCCATCAAATAACCAATTATCCTTAATAGTTATTAAAATAATTTTACATTTATATATAATAACGCATGTGCTTTGCTTTATAACACATTAGATTTATTAGCATAATTTATGCATAGTGATATGTAAATGATGTTTTTCAAAAGATGTGCAACCTCTGTAACATGAAAGTATCTATGATTTCTACTGGTGACACAGTCACCAGTACTGCTAATACCACTGCAGTTTACTGCCCCCATGCATCAGCAAAGGAGAGGTTACATTTAGACGAAAGGTTAGTGGAAAGAAAGATGTAACTTTTTCCCAACTAAATATATAGAACCCCCGAATGGACCCCGTCAGGAATGCCTGGGCAGGAGGAAGGTCATAGAAAACAAGAATTCTATCTACACACCCCTGAATGGACCCCACCAGGAATGCCTGGGCAGGAGGAAGGTCATAGAAAACAAACCTGTGTTTATATTGTCACCACTGACGGTAGCAGGTCACCAGAGAAAAGAGCGACGACAATTGAGTGCCCCCAGAGAAGAAGACTAATGTCCAAAATAGGAGCTGCTGCTTTTCATGCTGGGGGTTCCGGGACACACAGCCCAGGTCACCCCGCCCAGGTCAACCAGAAAATATGCGACAAGGCACCCGGCCAACACGCCCACGGTGGCCTGTCTAGGCATTCAGACACTTACGGCTCTTTTTCCCTGAGACTTTACACTTCTCCTCCTGGCCCTTGGTCCTGTATCTGCCTCTTTTTTTATCTTTCTCCTGACAGTAAGTGAAAGAGACGAAGGGTGATCTACAGAGTTGCCTTTGTGGGAGATGCCCAACTTCCAACACCAGGCACAGACATATATAATAACGCATGTGCTTTGCTTTATAACACATTAGATTTATTAGCATAATTTATGCATAGACATAAATTATATAATTCAAAATTTGCCTTTGGAGATGTTTGTAGAAGTAATATATGCTCATTTAAGGAAAATGATCAAGCAGTACACAAGTTCATAAAGCAAAATAAATAAATGAAATAAAATAAATGGCAGTCTCCCTACCTACCTATCTACCCACCTCTCTAATCTCATTCCCCAGCAGTAGCCAGTTTGGTGTGCACATATACACTGTTTATAACCTTTACACGGAATATAAAAATCAGAATACATATGATTATGCAGGTTACTACTCACATTAGACAACTCCGCATGTTGATGCTCTAAATAAGTTCATTTACTGTGAATGCCAGCCTCAGGTGGGCACCGGGAGAGCCACCTGTTCCAAGGTGCGCTCAACACCCGTCACTCAATGCGTGCCCCGCCCAACCTGCTGCCCTTGCCCGCTGCCCTTCCCAGCCTTCCCCCTTTTCTATTTATAACCTTTGCTCCCCCAGCCTGCAGCCCTGCCTTGCGAGTCAGTGGTTCCGGCGTCCACGAAAGCCTGTCCTGTTAAAGTTCCGCACCTGCCAGGTGTCCGGGAGCTGCTCGCCTCTGCACATGAGCTACCTGGGTGCTCTGGGGTGTCTGTCCCCGGCATCGCGTATCAAAGCTAAGCGGCCCCGCCTGCACGCTCCCCGGAGCTGCGCCACGCCCGGCCCTGCCTAGAGCCCCAGGTCTTCTCACTCAGTTGACTTGGTGGCTGCTACCCAGTCGCCTCCACACTCCTGCCTTCCTGGCGAGTGCGGCTGGGACTGGCCTCCAGGCTGCGGAGACCC